TGCGAGATGAAAAGATCGGTGTTGTTTGGTGCAACCTGTAATTTTTGTTGAACTTTCTTCCTCGAATGTCTTTCGACTACCTTAATGAGACCAGAACAGCGTCCTCCTAACTGATCAAGGACCGGATCTCTAGTCTTGTTGAGTTTTTTCTCAAGATCGTAGAAGTCTCCATTCCAGTTCAGTAATCTTTAAAAGAGTTGTATAAAATCGATGAAAATCTCACTGCTCCGCTAAAAGAATTTGCTTTGTGTCTCACTGTTTCAAGAGCTATTGCTTATACAATCACATGCACCGTAAACTTAGATATCTACAGTCCTAATAAGCTCTTGCACATTTCTCTGAAGGAGGAAAGTAGATACGTACAAAATGGGATGTATTTCATAGGTGATTCCCGGAGTAATCTCTCTCCCTTCATATCCTGCGATAAGACCAGTTAGCTGGTGGTAGGTGCGATTTACCTAAAGAGAAATATTTTTTACTGCACGAAAAAAATTCTTTTGCAATGAACGATATCAAGGCGAGCAAATGGCACGAACCGCGGACCAGTACACGTCATCTCTTGCAGTAGTGTCGATCTTATCTTTGATGAACTTTTGGTTTTCCTTGAGGAAGTCTGTCATTCGCTCGCAGTACTGGGTGAAGTTCTTACAGTAATCTGCTATGGCATTCTCAATATGCATTCGCAGCACCTCACGCGATAAAACGCCTAAAAAACTTAGTTTCGCAAAAGTGTCAGCCAGACTACTCAGTTGCACCTTCCAGGTAGCCAGCAGCATAGGCTTGTAATTCTGGGTCAAACTTTGACTGTGTCTCGATTTCGAGGAAAGTCCAGCTACAAAGCTTATTGTAATGAGAGACAGATGGTTTCAAGAGTTGCTAAACATACCCTGAAGCATTCACCGAATTTCGCCATTTGGCCGCCGCAATCTGCTCCCTACAATCGAATCCTCAAAAGGAAATTAATATCGACATCGGAACAAATCATCGTAAATTACAAGAAAAATGAAAACCACAACAGTTCAAGTCATTCCTGCTATCATATTGAATTTCAACATACCGTTTAGGACTTGGAGCTTTCCGTCAACGATGCACATTTGATTGTAGGTATAACGCTCATCTTTCCCTTCTGATGTGGCAGCCGCGAAATCTGAGGGAACAAACTTCGAAATTGAAAAATGGCTCCTGAGTGTTTTCTACATGCAATTTGCTTGTATAGAAAAGGCTTACTTGTAACAAGAAAAAGGCAAGCCAAGCAGACGGCTAGCATGGCGAGTTGAGCCTAGTGGCAAAGACCTTATCTTTTTTCGTCCTTCTTATCAAGCTGGAGAGCTCAGCCGATGTTGCAATAGTTGTGATGTCAGTTAAATTATACACCAATGTAAACTGAGAAAACAACCCATTCGTTCCAAACAATAATATTCTTTGAGCTCTATATTCACATTTTAAAAATTGAATCTAACTAGAAAACGACGTTTCGTTCTCCAATCGAGCTATCAGCATCACTTACGTCATTTCGCATATGCTGATTTTTGTTTACTAACAGCCATCTTTGACGCTCTTATTTATGATCTTTGATCTTGTATTATCACAAGCTCTATTCGGAAGATATTGAAAACCAGCACCATGCATCTTGCCAAGAAACTGTAGGCTTTCCAAGTTTGATCATTTTCTTTGATTGACACAGATTTGCAACACTAAACGCTCCGAACGAACTTCGATGGAGAAATCAAATTACACTTTGTTGCTGGTTCACTAATACAGTTCAGAGGCCCGAACAATTCACTTCTTGTAGGTGTTCTTCGCGGCCGACACAATTACTTCACCTTCACTCAAATTTGCGGGATATTCGCAATTTCTCCGCCCCAATGGTTTTCGTTCACTGGATTGTCTCGACAGAAAGCAACAAACACTTCCTTTCTAAAGTTCTTTGTATTAAACTTTGT